GCAAATCTATTGGATAACCATATGGAATTATTTCACAACCCAGAGAAATTGCATTAAATAAGGTTTTAGGTTAGTAAATCATGGTCAGCCTTGTCGGTTAACATCACTGAAGGCACCATGAATAGTGGGAAAGTTACATCAGTAATTACGATGTTTCCAGAATTTCATGAAAAAAATCGTCTGGAAAAGTTATCGTTTTTCAGGACAACGCTTCATGTCATGTTTCACGAGAGATTAGTAAGCAGTCTGGTTAACTTATTATTTGGTTTAAAACTTCAGAAAAGATGCACGCATCTAAGATGCAGTAAACGCAACTTCCCCCCAATAGTCCGGGTCTGAATGTGATTGAAAATCTGTTTTCTGTTTTGAAGAGAGAGAAGTCAATGTGCTACCTGTGTATTGAACATTGAATGCAAAAAATAGGCATTTGGTGAATTTAATGCTGAATAGACTCCAAAAAGGCCTAAAGAACGGAGGCAGACCAGTCGACTTTTAGTGTACATAAACTTTACATCTTAATTATTATCAATGTTATTTTGTTGTAAATAAAAATTGTTTTATTCTCTTTAGTTACCTCTTAACTCATCATGGTCTCGGTCAACCCCTACTGACGAATTGGGAGGATCCGCTACATTCTGGATCATTCCATCTGCTAAGTATAAAGGAATCAGGAAAATCAATAGTATAAAGACTCATCAAGTCTTGTTTATTATAATTTGAAAACAAATTTACTCCACTATAAATGCTGTTGCCTATACGGTTTCACAAGTTTTTACAGGGATCTGTTGCTTCAGTTTCGATTAGACCTGTACATATAAAAGATATTCTATGATTTCCGTGAATGCATTTTGAAAGCTACAGTTGTCCGAAAAGACCCTCCTTACAGTTAAAAATTTCGCGGCATCCGGAATGACATATACTGGAGACTAATGACCAGATGCTCAATATCTACTTTTGTTCTACCTAATTCGGCGGGATGGCTATTCGCTTCTTTTGTCAGGTGAAACGAAATTCATTGGACTATTATACCGGTAGATCAGCTTTCCCCGCCTTTGCTGAGTTGCTCGTTAATCAACTGGTGAGATAAACCCATCGCTGATTGGATGTGCAACGCGATTTGAATTTGTTGAATAAATCAATCCTTGCTCTGCCGTATTTGGTGTTTAACAACGGCTTCGAATCAGCTGGCCTCAACTGCATTTCAAATTGAGCCATCATTTTCTAGACGAAGGTGTGAGGAAAAACGGCTTATCCGCCCGGACTATCCTCCAGATTGGTTTGGTGTAACTGTTCTCTGGTGCGATCAAATTCAACCATTAGCTTGTTTTGGTGTGATCGATTTTCCCCTTCAGGGTTTATATCATGATGGAAAAATCTGGTTCAATATGCAACAAACTGGACTTATGTTCACACTGAAGCACTTCCACAAGACAACAACTGAGTCATCAGATGCATGTTCTTCTCGAATCAGTTGTCTCCACGCTTCAATTGTATGCCAAAATGTTTTGAATGTTTAATCCGGTTTGGGTTCGGCGACACTGCAGGACACTTATTCAATGAGCCACACACCTCAAGTTAAGCTTTCGAAGATCAACTTGTGTTTCTTGGACTATATTTTTAGTTCTTTCAGGATTATAGATAATGCGTGAGTAGTTTGTAGTCACGTTTATCAATTTATTTAATGTAGAACATTTCCAGTAATTTGCTTATATACTGTGCACTGAATGAAAAAAAAATTAGAAATTTGGAATTCGTGTTCTCAACTTGATAAACACACTCATGGGACAGGAATCATCTTTCAAAAAGAACGAACTCCCATGTCGTTTGGCCTAAAATGTTTTCCAAATCGGAGATGTAACTTTCGAACTACCTCAAATTTTATCGCATCGCTCAAGGTCATGCAAATTCAAACGGTGATAGAAGAGAACTAAGAACATAAAAGCGGGAGATAAAATCAAGAACAAATATACTTTACTT